AAAAACTAGGGGACGCTGAAAACTGTGCATATGATGCAGGTGGTTTTGGAACAGCTTTGGAAGCTTCAGGTGGTTGTGGCAAATATTTTATGGAAGGTATAGGTGACCTTGACCTCCGCCTCACCACGACTCTGCACTGCTTCTTCCTGGCAGGTGATGATTCTGATGATTCAGAATCATCATTGGGACTCCTAATGCAAAATTTTTATTTTCATTATTTATACAAACATAACAAACTTAAATGAGGCTATATATTTAGCTCAAGATCTAAATTAGAGATTGTAATATATACCATCTAATTGTTGGCCGTGACTGCCGATGTGGCTCTGATCCTGAGCTCTCAACATCACTCTTATCTAGAGCCTTTCTCTCGAGTGATTTTATCTTTTCATAGGAAACTGTAATGTGATAAAAATGTCTAAATGTTTTAATAAAACATTAAAAAACAATAATATAATTGTATTATAATAAGTATATGTTACTTTTAATATTTAAAATTTTTAATGTAAGTAATTGTTGGTAATTTAAAAATATGTTAATTCTTACCATTGCTGTGCAGAATTTTCTCATATGTAAAAATCTGCCAGCTCTCACATGGCTCCTTTGCATTGCGCACCCATGCATCTCCAGCAGTTGGTGTGCTTGGCCAGTAACATTGCTTTTTGCCAGCCAGCAGCCACACATCTGGCACCACCATCACCATCCTTACATTATCCTCAACAGTTTCCAGAAGGTGGTACATTCTTTAACTTTAATACAGACTTAAATACATAAACTATACTAATTGCAACAAATATGAATACACAGTATTTACATAAAAATTAAAGACTTAAATGGATTAGATAAAACAAATTCTAATATTTTTGTTCTTTGTGATTTAGAGGAAGCAGCACATATCTCTTTTTGTATGGTAAGAGAACACATTTCTGTTCAATTTTTGATACATTGAATGTCTCTAATTTACCAGAAAGATTTGACACCTCAAAAATGCTCAATTTTGAGGACAATAATGGATATTGAAAAAAATCATAACATGTTAGAAATCGCTCAACAACAAGTACTGGTTCAGAAGACAAATCCATAATGAGAATGTTTCTAAGCAAAAAGAAAGTGTCTTCAATTTTAACACAGTTGTCTCCATTATCTATGGAAAAAAAGATACCTTTAAAATTAATTTGAGCAAATTGATCACATCTAACTCCATTTGGCAATGGCCCAAGACAATGTTTTTTTTTTGGAAAAGGATAAGGCTTGTCAGTTACAAAATCTTGAGATGAAAATAATCCTTTATCTGAGACTGCTCTTTCCGATAACCTCTTGACAACTTGTTCTAGTGGTGTCTGTGGTTTACGAACAAGTTTCTTCAACATACCCAAAAAATTTTCGAATGGAAAAGCACTGAAAGAATCTAGTGGTCCAAAATTCTTAACATCTGCTGCCAAATGTGTGAGCCCATGCACATTATAAACCAGAAATTCTTTACCATAAAGTTCTTTAGCTTCTTCTACAAACATACACAACAGTTCATGTGCATAATCAACATGACTGTAACATAAAGTAGGACTAGCAAGGCAATAAATACCAACAAAGAATAAAAGGTAATGACTATAATGTACTTTGTCTATATTTCCTTTCAATGCAACTATACCACTGTATAACAAAAACTGCCTAAACTCTGTAGCTTTCCACCTTTCTATATCATGCAGAGAACGGCATTTTCTAGAGAATTCACGTGGAATATATTCTTTGAAGAGTAGTAGACGGTTTGATATCTGTTGGACAGCCTGATTTCCTATTCTAAGGCCTTTTGAAACTGGACTCTTAAGCCAGAGTAAAAGAATTCTTCTTGTCACCCCTAAGCACACTAAATGCATGTAATCTAAAGGAAACTGAGTGACCATGCCAACTGACAAACTAGTCAAGGGAGATAATCCATGAAATTGATGATTTTCATCTTCAATTAAATCGAAAGCTTCATCTGAACGTAATGTTGCATTTATTTCAGGAAAGATGACTTTTTCAGCCCACTCCCCTTTTTGACAACATTTATCACAGCCCCAGTAACCTGAATGCCCTTTTGTTTTCTTAACAAAAGACCGCGCTGGAGCATCACATATAAAACAAGATATACACAGTTTAATAGGAAAAATAGAATCTTCGTTGTCTTCAAATCTGAGTGAAGTGGCACCTTTCTCGAGTACATGCATTTCATTCACAAAATCCGTTAAATATTCTTCAATGCTAACTGGTTTGCTATCTCCATAATACAAACCAATAAGGAATGGATCAGATTCAAATGGTTTACAAATTCTTCCAAGAATTGGCCAAAATTGACTGCATGAGGATTTAAATAAAGGCAAACCATCAAAATTAATTTGCAAATGGATAACTGGAGTCTCATTTGGATGAGAATGTAGAAATTTAAATAAATGGTTCGATTTTGTTAAGCAATTTTCAATTCCAAAATGGTAGTATGCACCACCTGTAATAGCTTTAACATTTATTTTTCTAGGAGTTTTCAGCAAAGTTCTTGAATCCTTTGGTAATGAAGGGTGGTAGGTGCACAATAAGCACAGTAAGGCACTAAGTGCATCATTTTTTATTTGAAAATCAATAGCCCACTTTCTGACTTCCTCTTGTAAATTATTTTCATAGTTGTCTTCTGGCGATGAGTCTGCATCTGTCTCACAATCTACATCCGACAGAATATCATTTAAATCTGTATAATCATAATTGCTAGTATTATCATACATGTGTTGCTCAGCGCCAGTCTGTTGATGGTGAGCTTCGTTTCTAACTTCTGAAAAACATGCTTGGTGACCAGTTACTGTGACTGGTGTTGATGAATAATTTACACTGTCAAACTCATTGAGAATAGGCCTCTGATTACTACTTTTATCAATAGGCCTATCATACTCATAATCATAATTCCTGGGCCTGCCTCTGACAGAAACGTCATGTACTGCCCTTATACAGTCAGCTAAATCATTACTAACCCTTTTTCGGGTAGCTCTCCAAATAGAACTTTTAGATGGTTCTTTCGTTGAAAACATATTTATTATTTAAAACAATCACCTAGCCTGTTACTGTAATGCCTAACTATGTAAATAGACTTCCTCTTATTTAATGACAGAAAGTGTTTTCTACACAGCAGTATGAATTTATGTACATTATTCTCCTCACTGTTGAAAAAAAAGTCAATAATTGGTGCAATACCTGTTGATGCGACAAGCTCACCTGTTGTCGGATAATCTGTTATCGATAATAATTGACGATGTTACCTGTTGATTAAGTGGTTTTAAGTCCTTGAAAGGATTATTAACAGAATCCAAACGTCGGTAGATTAAGCGATGATAAAGACGAGGTCTTAGTGCCGCTGGCTTGATACAACAAAGGCTCTGTTGTTGAGGAAAATGGCGAGCAAAGAATGGCAAGTAAAGACCTGGCGGGATGCTGGCTTGATAACAATAGAAAGGAATGTGGGCATAGAATTTAGGCCGAGATGCGATGGACTAGCGTGACGCTGGACGGGTAGCCACGCACACAATTTTAAAAATATTAAACAAAATGTTTAAAACACGCAACATAGTTTGTAGTTAAATCTAATTTTAAACTGAAGTATTATATTTGATTTTTAAACGTATTTCATGGAACATATATTAAGTTTAACAAACCTATTTAAATAAAATTGCTGCAGTAAATACATAAATCATTGTAATCTTGGCAAGCCAGGGTAAAAACGGTTAAATATCAAGGTATCAAGGGAAGCTATTCAAAACAAAGGGATGCAAGCACGTACAAATCTTGGCCGTATCCTGGCATAAGCATGGCGGGACCTTGGCCAATTTATCGCCAAGATAGCGATATTGGGCCAACCTTGGAACGACATTGGGTTAATAAATTGTGTTAGCTGGGAAGCGCTTGCTTCATATTAAATGTTTCTGTCAATACCAAACAAAAACTGCAACATATTAAACATTTGATTTTTGTATTTAATATTTTTCTGCCTTATATTATTAACAATATTTTTCCAACTGAAGATGTGTTGTCTTCTTCCAGGCATCTCTGCCGCCCCCCCTCCACCTCACCCCCCCCCCCCGAAACGAAATGAAATTTTAAAAGAAAATATATACTTTTGACAGTGTCCGCCCCCCCCCCCCCCCCCCGGAAATTGTTGTCCGCCCCGCCCCCACGCCCCGAAAATTTCAAGTGCACCCCCGGAGAAAAAAGTCTGGAAGAAACACTGAGCATAACTAAGACTTATAATTACCTCCCCTTAGTTTCAAATAGTTTAAAAACTGATTTATCTGCCCCATAATAGCCGTCACTTCTATTGTAAACATTCGGGGTGAACCAAAGCTCACCTGATAGGTGGGGATGAGGGTGGTGAAAAAAAAAATGAAAGTTTGAGGGGGGGGGGGGGGTGTAAATCAAAAGTTCGAAGGGGGGGGGGGCAAATCGAAAGTTTGAGGGGGGGGGTGGTGCAAATCGAAAGTTTGGCTCCAGGAAGGGTCGCTGCACCTCTGAGAAGATAGATGCTGTTAATGAATTCAACATGTGGACGTCCACAGTGACCCGATCCCCCCCCCCCCACTATACACACACATAAGTCGATTTTTTTTCGGACCCACCCCCCGGGGATGTCATAAATGGATGAACCCCCTAGAAGGTGGTGATGACTGGAGCGAATGGATGAGAGTGTTGTGGCATGAACTTGGGAGGCTCGCATAAAACAGGGATGTATGGCGGAGTTTTGTTGCTGACTTATTCTCCACAAGAATCTAAGAGGATTAAGTAAATAAGCAAAGTCACTTCTCCTCCCTATCGCATCGCCGATATTTATAATTAAATGCTGATGTAGATCTAGATTGTGTTTTTTTTTTAATGACTTCAACAGGTGTTATGTTCACTTTATAATTTATATACACAGAAAAAAAATATTTGAAAAAGCGAAAAACTTTTTTCATGAAAGGAAAAACAACTTATCACGTGATAATCACATGACTTGTGCTTGATATGACGGTTTTACTTTTCAGTCTATTCTACTTCTAGGTGGTTAGGTTTGTGTCGTCTTCACTCAGATGACCACAGACTGTATGTAGTGACTGAATTAGAAGTAGAGATAGATATTCAGTAGTATTTAGATCAAATCACTTACCTGAAGTAGACCTGCTGGTGAAATAATGCAGTTCGTGTTAGCACTGCTTGTTGGAGTGCTGGTGGCTCCTGTTTGCAGCAGAAGCGTCAAAAATGGTCAGCAAACTTGTGGATACGAGGTAAAAATATTAAATAATAGCCCTAACACAAAATGCATACATTTATTAAATTTAGGCCTAATAATTTTGAGTTAGATCTAGATCTAGATCTGGATTCTAGATTTAGGCGCTAGCTCTTGTCTTTGGCATCAGGACAGTCTGTTGAATTTTTTTTGTCTTAATATTCCATACATAATAAAAATAAAATAAATTAGGCCTACTATTCAGTATTCATTCATTAGAATTACTTTTAAAACGGTTTACCACGAGCAAATTGGCAGGTTTTCTGGTTATAAAATCATATTAGGCCTATAGGTGGTGGGGCTAGATCTATATATTTATATGCCAGAAATTTGGTTTGGAGAATGAAGGCTAAATTTAAAAGTTGGTTTCATTAAAATCAAATAGAACTTTTAAAATATTAACTGTGAAGGTCCAAAAATTAGTGAATAGGAGAAGCATAATTAGTTTTATCAGTCTGTGAAAAAAAATCAAATATTGTATGCTTTTTTTTATACGATCGGAATGCAAATCACAATCAATTTCATTTTATTTTTTTTAAAAACTATGTGTCCCCTAGTAATTTAGTTTAAAAACGAGTTTCAAAAACTTAAAAAAAATAGTGCCTATTGAATTTCAAATGAATGTCTATTATTCAGTGGTCATGTTTAAATTGAAAATTTAGTAAATTTTAGAAATTAGATCTAGCGATTATGTCTACTTGTAGGCCTTTTACAATAATTAGTTTTATAGTTTTATTATATTTCTTCTACCTAAAATACTAATAAATGCCTAGATCTAGCTCCCTAACTTAACACTGACTTTAATTTAAATTTTAACTATTTAGCCTATTACTGTTTTATACAATTTATGACAGTTCTGTGTGTGTGATTTATGACAGTTCTATGTACTTAGACTGATTTTTATTTAGTCTTAATTTTTATATTTTTTTTCAGAGTTGTAACCAAGAAATACCCGGCATGATCAATGTACACCTTGTGCCACATACACATGACGATGTGGGCTGGCTGGTCACTGTTGACCAATACTACTACAAAGGTTTCAATTATCTTATGCATTTCTTTTGCTCATAAATTAAAAAATTAAAATAGACTGGGACAAAAAGGTAGAGTACTTAGCCTTATGCCTAATCAATTTCTAACCTGAGAGTCTTGCGTTTTAATTTATGCCCGCTAAAATAGGTGGCTGATTAAGTCGAGGGAAAAGTAAAATAAAGGCATTGTACTAGCTGTACAACAACTTGATATTCCTGTCTGCCATCTACTCTAAAAATATTTTTTAGATACTATTAATTTATTAATTTAGAATAGATACATGTTACACTGGATAGGAACCTGTATTCACTAGTTCTGTAAAATCATTTTTCAACAGCTGTACAGTTTATACTGGATGGAGTTATCCCTGAGCTGGCAGCTGACCCAAGCAAAAGATTCATCTATGTTGAAATAGCTTTTTTCTCAAGGTGGTTCAATGAGCAGGATGATGCCACACGACATCTGGTCCAGAAACTTGTCAATGAAGGTGAACTACATTATATAAGATTGTTGCTAGAATAAGTTTTAGCCTATATGATTGTTACCATGATATATTTTACTTAAATTTGTTAAGATCTTCTGCACTTTTTAACACTGAATTTACTACAACTGTTTTTGGTTGTTGTCATAGTCTGGAATAGCTATAGTTTTATTTATATTTACTCAACAATGTTCTCATTGTATCAGACCTTAGTGCATTTAATTTTCACAGATTTTTTGAAAAACAACTCAAAACTGTGTTCTTTATGTAGTTTCTAAATATGAATAAATATTTAAAATGACAGTGACTTGACATGTCTATACTTCCAGGCCGGCTGGAGTTTATTCTGGGTGGCTGGTGTATGAACGACGAGGCCACGCCCCATTACACCGCCATGATTGACCAACACAAGATTGGGTTTGAGTACCTGAGGAACAACTTTGGGGATTGTGCCAGGCCTAAAATTGGTTGGCAGATTGATCCCTTCGGACATTCCAGAGAGCAGGCGTCCATGTTTGCTCAGGTTAGATACAGTCCTCTGTTTATAATGCAGAGAATTAATTTTATTCATACTTTTTGGAAAATATTCTGTGAAGCTATATCCTCAGCAAATTATAGAACACAATTTTAAATTCTAGTGGAATTGCTATTTGGAAGGTTATTTATTTTATTCAAAGTAATAATATATCTGATATCAAATAACTATCAATAACAATAACTGCTGCTGTGCCCTACTGCCATTAAATTAATGTGATTTTAAAGAAACAGATCTATTTTTCATCAAATTCACATGAATTCTATTTTATAAGTTTGTTTTGTTTTTTCTGAATATGGTATTTTTATTTTAGTGACCTCTGATTTTAATGTTAGGATGTTTTACAATAGTTTTGGATTGTTCACCACTGCACTTTATCTTATTTAACTGATTGATGAAGTTTTGGTTTAATTTTCCCATTGCCAGGCGAGGTAAAGAAATGAATTTATTTTGCAGTTTGGCTTTGATGGATATTTCTTTGGTCGACTTGACTACCAGGACAAGGACAAGAGGCAGAAAGACAAAACTATGGAGTTTGTCTGGCGAGGCAGCCCCAACAATTTGGGTATGTAAAATTGTTTTTAAAAATATAAAACATAAATGGTTTAACATGTCTAGCCCTCCTAAAACAAATGGATTGATCTATTGCACCAATGATAGTTTGGTCAAGAAGTTGTAGGCTCTGTCTATTGCTCCAATATCAGCAATGTGATAGACTCTTACGTTATTTAAAATAACACCCTCCATTGTCAGGTTGATTTTTTAAATTAGTTTTGTCTTAAGTACGGTTATGGATTTATTGGTAGAAATGTGTATTTAATATTTTAACAATTATCTCAATAATTATTGTATGTTAACGTACATGGTCACATTGCAGGTTTATACATTATTAAATGTTTAAGATAATAATCTCTGTATCAGAGTGAGTTTTGTAGTGTAGCCAAGAAGTTTCTTTCGAAGTTTAAATTTCCCATAATTCATCTTGGGCACTTGATTTCTTCCTCTTCCTGCAGGAGACCAGGGAGATTTGTTCACTGGGGTTTTGCCCAACGGCTACAACCCACCTGGCAATTATTGCTTTGATATCACTTGTCTAGATTTTAATCCTCTTATTCAGGTAACATTGCATGGGCCTTGATATTGGTGGTGGTGGCACTTTGTTTTTACTAACACTACTTCATATTTCTAACATTTTGTTTCTGCATGTTTCGCTTTATTTTTTTATCTTGTCGCACTGCGCATGCAGCAGGTTTGCATGGTACTTTTATGTAGAAAACCTATTCTGCTAGTTGTTTTAAAAATTGTTCTAGATTTAGTTACACAGGTTATCAGTGCTGTATACTGATTAGACTTTTTGCCTAACATGGCATACCTATGAACTTTTCTACATACATATCTGGTCTGTACAGGGGTGAACTTTGAAGTCCGCACACTGTTTACTGTCTGATAATCTAATCAGGTGGTTATCACAACATAATCAGCAAACTTGCTGTCCTATCTGATTTCTTTATAAGTATAACTTGTTCTGGAAGATCTGATAGCCATATCAACACTAATGACTTCTCTTAATGACCCTAGGTATTGAAATGGTATAGTTACCTTTATAAGGCTAGTCGGTTCAAGTAATTAAATTATTGACTAAATATTTTTAAAGTGCAATATACAAATACATTTCTTAATCTGTTTGGGGTTGCTTGTATAATATTCAAATGAAGTGACTACTTGGAAGAAGCTCCTGTCCAGTAGACACAATGAACTCAATAGCTGTTCAATGGGCTCAAATTACTTATTCTTATGACAAAATGGCACTGTGTGGTCAAGGGGTTTTGTGCTTTGGACAGATGGTATGGGGTTGAGGATTCATTACCAACTTATATAATATTATAGGCTATATAGGATACCTCATAAGGAGATCTTTTTGTTTAAAAATCAACTTTAATAGCCTATTTAAATCTATTTAAGTTTTTATCAAGTTATTCCCTGTCCCATCAAAACAACACATAGGCCCAAACAGCAATCATTTAGATGACAAGAAAAACCAGGTCATTTTAGCAATGTTTTGTAAACATACTCATGCACATCTTTTTGCTAGAATCAACCATCCTGAAAGTGTAGATTGTATAGTCCATAACGTTTTCAAAGTTGCATGCGTATTTACAAAGTTTAACACTAAAAATAAACCCCAATCTTTCTGTGAAATGACTAGCTTAATAAGTGGCACTCGTATTTACATAGATAAACACTAAAAATAAACCCCAACTTTCCTGTGAAGTGACTAGCTTTATAAGTGACACACGTATTTACATAGATAAACACTAACAATAACCCCCACCCTTCCTGTTAAGTGACTAGCTTTGAATGTATCCAATGTGTTCAGGTGGTGATGGTGAGATTTTCACTGGTGTCCTGCCCAATGGCTATGGTCCTCCTGGGGGCTACTGTTTTGACATAACCTGTGACCCCAACATGATCAAGGTCAGGCCTGGTTACAACCAGATGGTTGCACTCCCCCTCCTCCCTCCCCTCATCTCACCATCCTGGTTCAAATACAAATGTGATGTATAGAAAAAAGTATTCTATTTAGACTAATGGATTATAATTAAAATGGATTTTTGTTCAAAGATGGATATATTTTCCTATAAACAATATAACTGGAGGAAAAACAATGTTTTGTATTACTGCAGTTTGATATTTATGTAAGACTTTAAAGAATGGTCTTTTTTAAATACCTGCACGAAAGATTCGCCTTCATATATTATATTTATGGCAATAATAGTCATAGTATTGAATTTAGCAAGAGAAATTAATACTATGCATGGTTACAATTTCTTTGTAGTTATTAGTGTTTGTGAATTGTTTTCCATTGTTTTCTTTTATGCTTTATGTACATGCTTATGTAGTCATACTCAATTTAATATCACTTAACAAGCAGTAGTCATATTACAAAGTATTAGAATTGTATTGCTTCTATTCTTTATCATGTGTTATTTCCCTTGGCTTTAAGTTTCACTTTTTTGATAAAAATTAATCATTATATTTTTCTGTTGATAATGTAAAGTTCAAAAGCATATTTATGCAGTAGATAATCCTTATCAATGTATTGCTGCTTAATTCCTGCTTTATTAGACCTTACGGAGTATTTTATTTTGTTATTTTCTGGTTATTAATTTTCTGATTTCCTTAAAATGTCAAGTTTAAAGATGTATGATGACTTCTGAAGATTGTTAAAATGTAATAATAGAAATTCTTCATATTACTACTGATTACATTTTAAATATTGATTAATGAGAAATAATTACAACACATACTTTTTGTAATTAAGTGAAAACAAATATAAGTGTTAAGAACATAACAAATTTAAGTTGATTTTTGGGACATGAGTGTGAAGATGTGTACAAATATAAAAAAAAAACATCCTGTAACACATTTTGAAATAATAACTTAAATGAATATATAATCCTGTAGGATGATCCTAATCTCCATGACTACAATGTGGATCAGATGGTGGATGGGTTTATCCAGGCTGTCAATGATCAGGTAAGTACCAGTGAGTTATTCCCCTTGAATGTCCTGCCAGGTTTGGGAACTATAGATTTTAAAAAAAAATATGACATGAAAAGTCAATTTAAGGTAAATAATCTTTTTATCTAGGCTAAAAAATTACAAACCAGTAATGTGTGCTTTTGTTTGCAGGCTAAATCATTCAGAACCAATCACTTGATCATGACTATGGGATCTGACTTTAACTATGTGCAAGCCCATATGTTCTTCAAAGAGATGGACAAGTTGATCAAATATGTCAATGCCAGGGTAATTATTCCATGCTGTCATCTAATCAAAGAAGTTATAAAATAATAGCTGTGCCTGTTTTTGATTCCATTGTATAGACCCAGGCCAGATTTGTTTAGTTTTAATCACATACTTCATCATAACAACATAGTCCTCTTAACCCTTTGAGACCGACAGGTTGTAGGCTTTTGAAGAAATCCAAGATGGTGGATGGCCGCCATCTTGGATATAGAAAAACAAAGAATTTTAGAATCTTGCTGAATTGTTTGATACTGAGCATGGATACCATTTTCTCAAACGGTTCAAAAGTTATAGGCAGAGTTAGAAGCAATTAGGTCAGGGAGGCCCGGTTCTTAGTAGAATTTGCACCTCAGTCATTATCTTCCACATTTTTAACGAGTCCCCAGCTGTGTATCCAATACAATTCTGCAGTCCTAAGAAGAATCTGCCAGTTTCTTTTTAGTCTTCCCTGGAATTTTCAGAATAGTACAATAAGTATAAAAACTCCCAATTGTCCATACTAACTTATTAATTTGTAACAAAATTGACTTTACTCTCTGCTCCTTGTGGAACGTAGGGCCTCAACCATTCCCTTACATTTTGTCTGGTCCCCTGCTATTGATTTTGCAATCTCCCTGCTGTCTTCAGTTCTTCAATTCTTCAAAAAACTATAGTTTAGGTCTATCTTCGGCGTCCTGTCCTGCTTTCCCTGGGGGTTCCACTCAAGTGCCTAGCAAAATTATCACAGTGTGAAATATGAATTCATGTTTTCTTTCTTTGCCCCCCCCCCCCCCCTTCCCCAGCAATCATCAGGCAGTAAGATTAACGTCCTTTACTCCACCCCCTCCTGCTACCTGAAACAACTAAACAACGACAACCTGACCTGGACCACCAAAGAAGACGACTTCTTCCCTTATGCTGACCGCGATCATGGGTTCTGGACTGGCTACTTTGCCAGTCGTCCAGCGCTCAAGTATTATGTCCGTGTGGTCAATAGTTTCTTCCAGGTAAATATTTACGCGTGTTAAGAGATTATTACTAAACAGTTAACTTATATTTATCCTCTTTTCAACTTATACACAAAGTGTGTATTAATGGCTATCAGGGTAATGTCAACTATATGCTAGTTTTGATTGTGTTTCAGTCTGTGAAACAGATGGCGGGCCTGGCTAAGCTGGACAATACATATGACAGTGGTGTACAGTTACAGAAGTTGGGTAGGTCGGAGACTGGTCTCATAGATCCTCATAGTAGTATTAGGGTTCAATTCAAGTGATAGCTACATTTTTTTTTAAAAAATGTAATGTTGTTTTGTAAGAGAGTTGTATTTTGTAAAGTGCTTGGGAAATTTTTCTGGTTCAATATTGTAATTAATTATTAACACAAAGTGATGTTGCTGCTGTTTGAAAAAAATCCCAATAGTTTTACTGCCTTTGTACTTTGTTTCTGTATTGATAAAAACAATTTTTTGGATCCTAGTTTAATGGGTTAAATTATTATCAAGACATAACCTGCTTGGATTGTAAAGCTTATTATTTGAAACAAAATTTATTTATTAGTGATAAATAAATTATTTTATTTTTTTTCCAGCTGAATCTATGGGTGTGGCCCAACATCATGATGCAGTCAGGTAAACTCTAGCAGTATAAAATTGTCTTCCAAACTTCTTCTTTTAAAAACTTTAAGTTATGTTTGAATAAAAGCTGATAAGTATGCTGGTTTTCTGTTTTTCAGTGGCACAGAGAAGCAGGCTGTGGCTTATGATTATGCTCAACGCCTTGCTGATGGCGTAAATGGTGCTCAGGTATAAGAAACAAATTTTTACTTACAAAATTTTTTTTTTTAATTAATCATTATATTTAAAATATTTGCTCAGGAGGTGAAGTTGTTTCCTAAGATTTTTACATGTATATTATGTCAACAAGCATCATAAAATTTGATAATGTGTTTTATAATGTGATACTGAAAAATGTGTTATGAAATGTGATATTGATGTATAATCTTGCATGTGTTTTCTCCACAGAATGTAGTCCAGGATGTTTATAATCTCTGGATGTGTTTTCTCCACAGAATGTAGTTCAGGATGTTTACAATCTCTGGATGCAGAAGGGCTCCACTCCTGTACCAACCCAGGTGTTCTGTGGCTCCCTCAACATCAGTATCTGTAGTGTGACTGAGAATGCCTACAATGTGAGCTCTTGTTTTTTGAATATTTGGTTTAGAATCTGGCTTAGGTGTTCTATTCTGGCAAATCTTATCTAGTCTGTATTGTCTACTTGTACCTGGCCATCTTATGGAAGTTTGGCCTATTTATTTCTTCAGCATTTGTCAGTTGAAACAGTATGCTTATGTTAGGTTTTATTTTAAAGTTAGGTTTTATTTTAAAGAAACAGTTAAGAAACTTCTTTCTTCTTTTAGTTAAAAGTTTACTTCATGTCAGCAGTTTTTTTTTTCTCAGAAAAATGTAATTGTATACAGTTTAATTATAAGGTTTTGCAATTTTGATATAATTTCCCTCTCATTGTAACATTTGGTAATTTTTTGCTGACCAGCAGCACAATGTAAATTAATTTTTTGATTATTTCAATTTCCTGACTCAAAAAAGTTGGCCCTAGCAACTAGTACTACAATTGTAGGGGTGGTAGAGTTCATGACTGCTAACTTAAAAGGTCACAATTTGGATACGAGGCTTGGGTCTGTATGACATCATTAAGTCCACCCAGCACTGATGGGTAACTTGCTGACCCCTCACTATATGTATGGTGAGGTAATGTAATAGATTAACTCTACAACTGTAGAAAAACAAAATTTTCAACATTGTATTTGCTTTTGGTCCAACATACAAGTGTCATCATACTTTACAACCATCTTCATGGTGATACAGAAATGTTAACCCTTTACTTTCCAGTTCCAAGTGACTCTATACAACCCACTGGCTCGTCCTGTCAGCTACGCAGTCAGACTTCCTGTGTCTGGAATCAAGTACACAGTGTACAAGGAAGATGGCGTCACACAAGTCACCAGTGATGTGAGTTTATCAATATCACACCACTTACCTTCCTTGTCTGTCTGTTGGTGAAACTGGTCCCTGTGTAAACTGTACCCCAGCAGTATGGTACAGTGTTTTTTGTTTTGTTCCCACACAACCTGTCTTGCCTGTCTGTTGGTGAACTTGGTCCCTGTGTAAACTATTCCCAGCATTACATTACTCTATCTTTTATGTTTTGTTGTTTTCCTCCTGGCAGGTGCTCCCTCTCCCCTCTGGCACATTGAACATACCAACAAGAGAAGCAAGGCAGGCAACTAATGAGCTTGTTTTCCTGGCCCAGCTTACTCCCCTTGGTTATGTCACCTACTTTGTCAAGGCTGCTACCCTCAGCAGTGAGTAGATTTATTACATTCCGCTGTACTGTACTGGAATCAAGTTGTAGTATTTTCAAAATTAAACTTAATTTCAATTTTCAAGAGATCTCATGAGCATTGGTCACTCCTGAGATCTCTTATAAATTTTAACGACCAAAGCTTGTATTTAAAAAGAGCAAGTTTTTTTTTTTCTTAATTTCAATGCATTTAAAAGCTTCTTATTATAAGGGCTTTTATATTTGTTTTATTAAGACCATAGGTTTTGTATCATTATCATGTGTGCCCAGCACCTAATTTTTAAGTACCTTTTCTCATCATTAAGTAATTGTATGAAATATGTTTCTTGATTAGATAATGGATACTGTACTATTTTTCTGGTTAAGATCTTTGATTCAAGTATGCATACTTGACCATTTTTTTATAGGATATTATATAGGATTTTTATAGGATTTTAATACTAGAGAATTAATACTTTACTATTTGTTTGGTTAGAATATTGTTTAAAAAATGTGTACTTAACAATTTGTTTTTCCAGTGTTTTTTTTATTAGAGAATTATTACTTTACTTTTTGCTTTGTTAGGATCTTTGAAATTTGAAACTGAAAATGAGAAGCACAAAGCTGAGGTGCCACCAAATGACAACAGCATTGAAGGAAAAGTGGGTGCACTTTGTTATTAATCATTCAACCTAATCAACAGTAGACCTGAGTTGATGTTATTATCAGAAGACTACATAATTTTTTATGTCAACTGTTAGCCCAGCATAGTACTTTTAGAAATTCTTTCTGAATTTTCATTCTTTCCTCAATTAGTCAATCGATAATGGCATTTCTTGCTTTTTGATATTTAATTTATCAAAATCAAATTTTAAATGCAACTGTAGATTATTTGTCACCTTTTATTTATTGTCTAGAATATTCTTGTAACATTCTATAATTTTTTTGAATTTTCTGGTATGTCAGTATACTTTTATTTTACCCTCCAGTACCTGAGAGTGACCTTTGATGACATGGGCTACCTGCACTCCATCACCAACCTGACCAGCGGGGTCACCGTGCCCTTGTTGCAGAACTTCTTGTACTACCAGGGTTTCCCTGGCAACAACAGTGCTGGCGTTGACCAGGCCTCTGGTGCCTACATCTTCAGGCCCAGCTCCAACACACCTGTCAATGTCCCCCTCAGCAAGTGGGGTGGGGTGGTCAAGGTAAGTCAGCCAGGTGTGGGGTGGTAGGGGGGTGACATCAACCAGGCCTCTGGTGCTTACATCTTAAAATGCTGAGGTCCCTTGAAACAGTTGATCTCGACCTCATCAACCAACAATGTACCTATTGCACCTAATGTATAGAAGATCACAATACCTGTTAATACCTACAATGTACCTATTAACCTACAGGGTGAAGTTGTACAAGAAGCCTACCAGGTCTTCACTGATTGGATCAGTCAGGTGATCAGAGTCTACCAGGATAAACCTTATGTTGAGGTGGAGTGGACCGTTGGACCAGTCCCCATTAAGTGAGTCTTGTGTTTTATCATTCATCATGTGGTGCAATCTTCTTATGATGTATTTAAATAACACAGCAGTCTTTTGAATAAGTGATTAGTTTTAAAATGTTTTAAGCTCTTATTTAGCTCACAATGTCTGTTTGTGGAAAATCTTGTAACTCAATTTGAAATTACTACTTCAGAAATCACTTTTTTAGAAAAATTAGTCTCTGATGGAAAATTGAATAAAATTATCTTTATTTAATAAAGAAATTGGTAGCTAAAATATGTAAAACATTTCATGGGTGACCAATGCCTTTATCATAGACAGCAATTTATTTTTCCACTCCATTTCAAAGCAAATTTGTAAATTTTTTTTCTTTTTATACTCTATTGTATCTTTCCAAAAGTTGTACATTTTTCTGGGTACTTTATTCTATAAAATAAAAGCTGTTTGCTCTTACAGGTTACATTATAAACATTGTATCATAGAGCATATCACTCAAGTTTGCTTGTTTATAAAGTAATGTATAGGATAAATGAACCAAATATTTTCAACTTTCAGTGACAAGATAGGTAAAGAGGTTGTGACCCGCTACACCCTGCCTGGGTTTGGTAACAAGGGAGTCTTTTACACTGATGCTAATGGCAGAGAAGTTCTGGAGAGGAGGTGAGTTACCTATAGCAGTGTAGCAGGTTGATACTCCATTGATACTCCCTCTAGGTTAATGACCCCCTCTGCTCTTACATCCTTCTTGTATGTAACCATGCTTTATACACGTCATAGAAATAATACATTTCAGTTTTAATAGGTAATTTATTATATTGGTTTTATCATTTTCGCCACTAAAGTTAGTTGTATTTAATATTTTAATATTGAAATATGTTGAATCTGCATGTTGGTTGTCTTTTGAAATGACATTTTAGTTGTATTTAATTCCCTTGTTCCCCAGGCTGAAAATGACATTTTAGTTGTATTTAATTCCCTTGTTCCCTAGGCTAAAAATGACATTTTAGTTGTATTTAATTCCCTTGTTCCCCAGGCTGAAAATGACATTTTAGTTGTATTTAATTCCCTTGTTCCCTAGGCTAAAAATGACATTTTAGTTGTATTTAATTCCCTTGTTCCCCAGGCTGAAAATGACATTTTAGTTGTATTTAATTCCCTTGTTCCCCAGGCTGAAAATGACATTTTAGTTGTATTTAATTCCCTTGTTCCCTAGGCTAAAAATGACATTTTAGTTGTATTTAATTCCCTTGTTCCCCAGGCTGAAAATGACATTTTAGTTGTATTTAATTCCCTTGTTCCCTAGGCTAAAAATGACATTTTAGTTGTATTTAATTCCCTTGTTCCCCAGGCTGAAAATGACATTTTAGTTGTATTTAATTCCCTTGTTCCCTAGGCTAAAAATGACATTTTAGTTGTATTTAATTCCCTTGTTCCCCAGGCTGAAAATGACATTTTAGTTGTATTTAATTCCCTTGTTCCCTAGGCTAAAAATGACATTTTAGTTGTATTTAATTCCCTTGTTCCCCAGGCTGAAAATGACATTTTAGTTGTATTTAATTCCCTTGTTCCCCAGGCTGAACTATCGCCCAACCTGGGACCTGAATCAAACTGAGCCAGTTGCTGGAAACTACTACCCAGTCAATGCTTTCATGGGAATTAAGGTATAGTCTCTACTTGCTCATATGTTTTGTGTTTGACACTTCTATAGCAAACATCATGTAAGCACATAGTATCGAGGTAGTGTTTCCACTACTTATTTACATGTTGTGTGTATGACATTCCTATAAGAAACGTCTTTCTGTTAGTACGTAACATCAAGGTAGTATCTTCACTTCTTGATCAGAAGGTGTGTGTATGACGTTTTCATAACAAACATCAATTATCACAAATAATGTTACCTGATGTCTGTATTTGATATGACTAAACCAATTTTTTGTAAAACCAGAGTGGAGATGGCAAGCTGCAGTTTACAGTCCTCACAGACAGGTCACAGGGTGGGGTCAGTCTGGATGATGGAGACGTGGAAATTATGGTCAGTTGACATTGTTACCAGCTTTACACACTTTTTAAAAACTTTTTAAATCCATTATTAATTACTAGCTGTTGGTATCTGTTATGCGTGAATTATAGGCCTATACATTTTAATGTTATACTTGTTTGAGAAAATATTTTATAAAATAGTTATTGGTCAAAACACTATGTGTTTTACTACACGTTGAATGAGTGACAATGCAAAGAAATAACTAAATGGCTAAAAACCCTTCACATTTAAAATAACATAGGCTACCAATACTTACTGGAAAAACCAAATTATATACATTGTTAGTCACCACAACACCATATTAAATGCACACACTGATTAAGAGACTCAAATGATTCAGTTAAAAACCCAGCTGTTCAATTTTATTTATGTTGTTTTTTAAAGTAGTTTGTATTACTTTTAGCCGAAAAAATTGTATACATTTCATAGCATACATCTTGATAAGTAGATCTATAGAAGTGCGCACATGGGTGTATATATATATTACGACAGTTATTTGTATGTTTGCCTTTGATGACGTGGCCTAGTGGTAGAGAGCCAGACTGCTAACCCAAAAGTCTCGAGTTCAAATCAGGTTCAAGTCAGTAAAATGTCCCCAGCTCTGATGGGTACTGAACCCACATTAGGGAAACAAAGATGGCTGGGCATAGAATTGACCACACTATCCCTTCATAATCTGAGTTCACTGAAGATGAACTCTACTTTCGCTGCCCCATGTGTCTTTGGCACGAACAGTATAAGATGTTTGTCTTTTTTCCAGTTTTGTTACATTATTTGATTGTTTTAGGTTTGTATGTCAATGCTGTTATATGGCTGACCTGCACATGGTTTTAAAAACTTTTCTTGCTTCCAGGTCCACAGACGTCTGCTGTATGATGACGCTAAGGGAGTGGGGGAGCCTTTAAATGAAACTGGAATTGACGGCAAAGGGTTGATCATTAGAGGTGATTTTCATGCTGGCTAAAACTGTGTTTGCTAGTGGGGGTTCACTAATTTTAAAAATTATAATGTAGTTTGAACTAAGTTGTAATAGAAAGTGACTTGCAGCATTATGGTTTAGCACACTTGTTGTTTTTTTAAGGTTGGTGAGATCACTAAGTAGAGAACATGTTTATTAACTTTTAGTCTTGGGTTTGTATCACAAAGGACATGTTTGAGTTTACCTAAATCTGATGTTTGTAAATTTAATCTATGGTAAGCTGTAGAGTGCTAGGCTGCTAACCCGAAAGTCTCAAGTACCTAACTCATGTTAGGGTAGGTAAAGGCGGCTGAGCAAAGTGCTGACCACAGCGGTCAAGAAACATAAGAACTCTACTTATCTGGCCAAAGGATTGCTAGGTCTAAAGAGAATTCTTTACGTCATGTAAATTGAATCTGGGAAAGTAAAAGTGGCTGAGCGTAGTGCTGACCACACTATTTTTATTAGCCTATGTACAAGACTGTCCTGTCTGAAAGGGTCATTTTACTATTTATAATGTAACAATAATCCACACATCCCACCCAACTCTGATGGGTACCAAACTCACGTTAGGGAAAAGTAAAGGCTGCTGGGCATAGTGCTGACCACACTATCCTTTCATATGCCAAGGTCACAGAATCAAGTGAACTCTATTTCACTTGCCCCATAGACCATCAGGTTTTAAAGGGATTATAAAAAAAAAAAAAAAAACATTCCACACATCATTACAAAATAACATGTATTATTTCTAGTTTTAAATCCAAACCATGCAGATAACAAATTGTTTTGGCAAATAAATTTGTGAAAGTAAACATTTATGACAGTCTAACGTTTAACATTGTCTAATGTTGTTTAAAATTGTTAAATATCCAGGTACCCACTACTTGGTGCTAGACAATGTGGAGACCTCCGCCAGCATTTACCGTCCCCTGGCCCAGGAGATCTTCTTGCAGCCTCAGGTGACCTTCTCTGACCTCAAGGTCGAGCCATCAGTCTATGTCCAGCTGTTCAGAACACAGGTCGGTGAATGTTGTGGAAAATTTGCTTCACCCCTATTGTAGTGTTGTGTTTTTAGCTTCAGTTTTAAAATCTTGTTACAATTAATGGCAAGTAAAAAGAAATAGTTCTTTAAGTTTTTAATAAATTGAAAATCATTTGAACTTTAACACATTTTTGAAAATATGAAAATAATTCCGAAAGATGTTTTAATGTAAATTATATAGTGCAAAAAAATGCTTATAGAAAAGAAAAATATTTTTCAGTAGAAATTATTTACATTATATTTGTTATAAAAAAAAGATTTTATTTCTAACAGCAGAAAGTAATTTACTGTAACATTGTTTTCTTGTCACCAGTGGTCTGCCCTGGCCACCTCGCTGCCCAAAAATGTGCACTTGTTGACCTTGGAACAGTTCCGCCACACTGGACCAGTGCCATCCCCCGGCCCCTCTGTACCTTACCTGATCAGGTTTGAACACTTCTATGAGAAAGGTGAAGACGCAACCCTCTCTAACCCTGTAACTTTTGACATTCAGGTGAGTGATTTTATGTTGTGTGTGATTCAGGTGAGTGATTTTATGTTGTGTGTGATTCAGGTGAGTGATTTTATGTTGTGTGTGATTCAGGTGAGTGATTTTATGTTGTGTGTGATTCAGGTGAGTGATTTTATGTTGTGTGTGATTCTGGTGCAAATATTGATGTATGTGTATGTTCTGCAGTCTTTTACTGGACTGAAGAATTATTTTTTTGGAATAAATGTAAAGTTACACATTCTGACCTGACAGTCAATAGGGTAGGTGAAGAAGAGTTCACCTGTTTCTGATGTGAAGAAGTTCCCTTTCAAACCTGACGATCTATATTGCAAGTGAAGTAGAGTTCACTTGTTTCTGTGACCTCGGCAAATGAAGAGATAGTGTGGTCAGCACTATGTCTGTTTCTGATGTAACTGGGGACAATGTATCCTGCAGTTGTGCAGTGAGAGGGTCTACAATACCATCATGTCCTCTAATCATTCCAGAGTTCATCCTAGAGTTCCGACTTAAAGTACGACGAATTCAGCGCAGATAAATGACTCAACAGGATGACATTAGTTCATTACACTGTTTATTGCACTATAAAAATACATAAGACGACTTGAAAAAAACGATACTTGACTACATACACGTCGTCACCCTAACACAATAAGACACAAGGCTACCTAAACTTCTTCCCCAGCTTCAACGAACCTACAGTGAAACGTCACACTCTTGCTTACAGCGTCACACAGCCACCATCTTTTATTTATATGAAATCCTTTCACAACACACATACTCTTGTACCCTCTCACATACATCATAACAGTTTCTGTGACTTCCCTATGTAAATAGGCTGAACGGTCAATTCCATGACCAGCCATTTTTCCATTTTCTACCATCAGAGTAGCCTGTTCTCATGTATAGCCTAGAAAACCAAACTGTACACTTTATTTATCTCTTTGCTTTTTGGTGTCTCATATTTGATGTCTTCTACTATTGTGCAGAACATTTTTGCCCCATTCCAACTGACTGACGTCCATGAATTGGCACTGGGTGCTAACATCCCAATAGAGCAAGTTCAAAGGTTAAAGTGGAACACCCAGTCAGCAACAATTGGTAAGTGAAGGTCATTTGTTTTACTTGAGTTGTTTTCTAATAGACTTTGAAGGCTTTTTCAACTTGCTCACCACATGCAAATGGTACCTGGGTGGAGCGGTTGGCCTTAAAATCAGCAAAACATAAAATTTATTAAAGATTTTTTAAATTTTTTTCAGACACAAATATGAAGGGGTTTGCTATTATTATCTGATATTATTTGTAATGAATTAAGTGTATGTTTAATATTTATTTTATTGTAACAATAGAAATGTTTTCAATCACCAAACACTGTCTTCATCTCTGTAGGTGGCCAGCCACGCAAACATTTATCTGGCACAGTGGTAACTCTGGGCCCTATGGAGATTGTCACTTTACAAGTCAACATTAATATTTAGGATCAGAGAAATTATCAAATGCTAGAAATCAAGAGTAAAGAGAAATCCACTCAATACAAGTAGAAAAAAAGATTATTACCTTTTTTTAAATTGTTGTATTACTTAAAAGAAAATTTTCTCAGTGATAACCATTATTGTATAATAAGAATAAAAAAAAACAGTTGTTTAAACAATTTTTTTTCCTGTTTGTAACAACTAATGCCAGATGACCTACATTCCAAGTCTTTCAGTGAAGTACCTATGGAGTAATACAGAGTAAAATATTGTAGCATTTTTTATCAATGAACTGTTGTATACTTAATGGTCGTTGTAGTCCTCATTATTGTTTTATATTCTCCTGCCCTCCTATATTTGTATTGCCTGTCTCTGTATTTGTAGGAAATACACCAGGCAATGCTCAGCATATTGAATTTAAGGCGTAATGAATTTAAAAAAAATGATTGAGTATTGTCAAAGTGAACTTGTATTCTGTATTATTATTTTAAAGGAATTAACATCTTCTTTTTTAAGTAGTTTTGTAAGTCTGTTAACCTATGCCTTTTTATTCTTTAGAAAAGTATGAAGGATTGTGAATAAAATTTTCTGTTGACCTTATTTCTTTAAGGTATTTTATGTGTAAAGATTATGTACGTACATCATAATTGACAGACATTGTTGGCTGATCAATGACATTCTTTACACTATATTTTTTTGTGATTTGTCTCCCCTCCCAGTTTAAATTGTCATAATTATGTACTCTTGATATGTACAATTTTTTTTTTTTTTCAAAATTAAATTGTTTCATATGATTGTAATTTCGTATCTTGTGCGACTGTGTTCTTTGCTTAAATTATTGTTCCATATTTTACTTAGTTTGTATCCTCGGCCACTATGTTCTTGCCGGCTATGTTAAGTGTGGAGTAGGATAGAGTTGTAGAAAATGTTAACCCACCTGCAAACAACTTGAAACCTAAACACAAACCGTGGGGGGGGGGGGGGGGGGGGGGGGAAGATCACTTGACTAAAATAGCTAATTTAGATTTAAAACTGATCACTTTATGCTAATGAGACAATGTGGTCGAATGGCAGAGCGTTTGGCTGCTAGCCCAAAGGGTTGGAGTTCGGATCTCTGTTAGGACTCTGGACTGCAAGACATCCGTAAGTACACCCAGCTCTGATGGGTACTTAACATACATTGGAGGCTTGGCATAGTTCTGACCACCAAGTTCACATACCAAGGTCAATAAACGTGAACTCTACTTCATCTGCCCAATGGATTGCTAGAGCATTCAAGTCAATTACCCCTAATTACCAAACTTTGAATAGTCAATGTATTCGCCATTCGTACCCGATTCTATGTTGATCCTGCACACATTTACACTAACTTAGCTGTAGAGTAATAAGCTATTGTTGTACTTGTGGCTATTGATCTACCTGTCTAGTGTTACAATTACAATCCGGCTAAAATAGACCTGGGTATCAATGCTACAGCTCTTTTTTCTTTGTTCTTAATTGTAATGTTGGACAAGATTCCCTCCAATACAATATGATGTATTGCCGTTTGTCAACTTGTTATGCGCCAGCTGGCCCGTTGACTCTTTATTTCAGCCAGCTTTTCTTTTCTGGGTATGCTTTCATAGCTTTTGTCGTACCAAGAACACACTACAAGGCAGCATTTGTTTGATTTTGGAGTTGTCTCACCTAGATGGGTTGTCGACCCTACCCCCTCCCCCCTCCTTCTCTCTCTCCCCCCCCTCCCTCTCCCCCCCCCCCCCCTCCCAGTCTTTTGACGCTACTGTTCAAGCCATTAACTAGCTGAAGCCGTCTCAACTTCTTTCAACAACCACCGTCTTTTTTTGTAATTTATTAAAATAAATTTAAAATAAACAAGCTGACGACTGCACACTGGTGTTAATCAGATTGTTGTACCGACTGGCATTTTGTGTACAAAACATGTACACAATTTTTAAACTTGACATTTTGACTAACTGAATACGTTTTTATTTCCCGCTATTGGTAACATTTTCCTAACCAAAACGGAGACTTAGCACTACCCGTTGGTCGCTAACGGCCTCATCGGGAATGTTCCTTGATTCATGCGTAGCTCTATACAACAAGTCACTAACGGCCTCAACTAGAATGTTCCTGGATTGATACGTAGCTCTATACAAGCCACTAGCAGTCTCATATAGATTCTAGGATATTCTTTGATTGACGCTTAGCAACACACAAGCCTCATCTGGCACTTCTGGCTTTATTGTGAATGTTAATACGTAGCTCTACACAAAAGCCACTGCCAGCCTCATCTAGAATGTTCCTAGACTGATGCATGACTCTACACATAGGCCACTGCCGGCCTCATCTAGAATGTTCCTTGACTGCTGCATGACTCTACACATAGGCCACTGCCGGCCTCATCTAGAATGTTCCTTGACTGATGCATGGCTCTACACATAGGCCACTGCCGGCCTCATCTAGAATGTTCCTTGACTGCTGCATGACTCTGCACATAGGCCACTGCCGGCCCCATCTAGAATGTTCTTTGACTGCTGCATGACTCTGCACATACGCCACTGCCGGCCTCATCTAGAATGTTCCTTGACTGCTGCATGACTCCACACATAGGCCACTGCCGGCCTAATCTAGAATGTTCCTTGACTGCTGCATGACTCTACACATAGGCCACTGCCGGCCTAATCTAGAATGTTCCTTGACTGCTGCACGACTCTACACATAGGCCACTGCCGGCCTAATCTAGAATGTTCCTTGACTGCTGCACGACTCTACACATAGGCCACTGCCGGCCTAATCTAGAATGTTCCTTGACTGCTGCACGACTCTACACATAGGCCACTAAGGGCCTGGGCTGCTTGTTGTGTTTCTTGACGGACGCTTGCCACCCGTGGCTCTCCAAAGCCTCATCTAGAATGTTCATTGATTGAAGCATGACTCTACACATAGGCCACTGCTGGCCTCATCTAGAATGTTCCATGACTCTACACATAGGCCACTAAGGGCCTGGGCTGCTTGTTATGTTTCTTGATGGACGCCTGCCACCCGTGGCTCTCCAAAGCCTCATCTAGGTCACTGAGCACGCGACCTATTTCCGCGCTGTACGACCGGATGCTGTCTACCCCACTGCTGTTCGAATCGTTATCGTTGCTGGGAGTTTCCGTCGATTTGATTTCGCCTTCTAGGTAAACGATCTCTTTGGAATCTGTGTCTGTTACTATAATGCTGTGTTTGTTTGATTTCAAAGTGTTGGTTTTGGTTTGTGTTTCGGCCGCTGGTTTGATTTCGCCGTTGTTTTGAGTTTTTGGTTGCTGGTTTGAGTTTGATGCATTGTCATTTTTGTTGGGATGAACTGTTGATTTCGTAACAGGTTTTTGTTCTATATTCGCTGTATTTGAAAGTTGCGGTTGGAAAGTTTGTGAGTTTGACGAGTTTGGGTATCTCTGGACCGCTGTTTTGTCTCCGTCGAAGTTTGGTTGAGGTTTTTTGGTGGCTGTTGATTTGATTTCAGGGTTGTTTGGAGCGAGCGGGGCTAGCGATGGTTTGAAGTTAGAGCTGACTTGTTGGTTGTTTGTGTTTTGGTGTACATTGATATTACCGGTGACGTAAGGCGGGTACGTTTTGGTAGGGAGTTGTGGCGGAACCGTTGGAGAAAGCTGAGGTCGTTGACCCTCGACAGGACCTTTTCTTCTAATGTTAGTCGCGCGTTGAAAGTTTTGGTTTTGGTTAGTTGCTTGTTGGTTTGGATTAGAAGCGTATCCATGCTGGGAAGCATGGGACGCCATACTCTCTTCGTAATCAGGGGTCGGCGTTCGTCTTTTCACGCCGTCTGCTGATGTATTGTTACCATGGAAACCACGATCCGCTTCCTGCGTCTCGTTGTGGTACCACCTCAGAGGACCGAATTCAAGACCCTCCTGCAAGGATGTGCTGAGGACCTTGGGGGTGTAGGCCTGTAGGAATTTAATTTCTTTATTCTTACGGCCTAAACTTTTAGTCCTATCCGCGTAGGCGGGGACTTTCTGTTTCGTATGAAAATTGTCCCAGTAGGTCTGTTCCGTTTCCTCGTTGCCTTCTAAATCCGGGTAATTAAAGCTGACTCCGCTATCGTAGTGACTCTCTTTTTCGTCTTTTTTCAGCCCCACGATTCTCCTCTTCTCCGATTTGTTATCGTTCGATGCCGACGTCACTTCCGTCACCAGAATCCAGTTGGGGTCGCCCTTCCCGCGCCCGAGCGAATCCTCTTCCGGTCTCGTCACGTGACTCTCGGTAGTCTCGCTTGAGAACGAGATCTTCCGCTCCAAAAGTTCGACCTGGCTGTTGGTGGACTGGGGACTGCCCGGTGGGTGGTGCTCGGATGACGTCACCCGGGGGCTGGGTCCTCTGGAGGTGGTGCCGGACACGGACCGGATGTCGACCAGGTCCTTGACGTGACCGTTCTGTGCCGGAGGGTACACCTCCACCTGCACCTTGGTGCTGCCGTGTGATGACGCCGGTTGATGTGGGATGTATAAAGCCGGATCGCCGGTTAGATCCGGTACCTGCCATTAAAAACATATGGTTAGATGAATGCTGTTTCAAATTTAAGTTTGCTGTAGATTATTTAATGTGTGTGCATTTTACGCGCATGCGTACGAATGCTACTATACAGATATATTTTAAATGTCATTTATTTTAATAATGTAAGCTGCTAAGAACGAGTACTATGAAAGCGAAAGAAATGATGTTTGGTTTTATATTTTACACATAACGAAAACTTAGTTGTGAAATAAATGACATTAAGGTTAACAAAGTATATGGGACGGGGTGGTCGGATGGTAGAGCGTTCGACTGATAACCCGAAGTTCTCTAATTCAGGTCCCGCGCTCTAGTTCGTCTCTGAGTCCACCCAGCTCTGATAGGTATACAGTAAAAAGCGGCTAGACAGTGCTGATCACGCTATCCCTTTTATCTACCGTGGCCACTGAAACAGGTGAACTCTACTTCACCTACACCCATGAACCGGAGGGGTCGAAATGTACTTTAAAAAAAAATCAAACTCAAATAGAATACATTAACATTTCAGCTGACCACTACATCCACGGTGTATTTATAGAACACCGACTAGTTTTACCTGTAGGTTAATCGTGTTGCAGAACATGACCTACTCACAACGAGTAAATATGATGTTCTCACCTTGTTCTGCATGTATTTTTTCCATTCATCGTAGTCTGCTATATGGTACGGTTTTTGGACATCCGGTACGTCAGCCAGACCTGGTACTGGTCAGGTTAGAACAAAAAACAACACGTTAACATTTAATAAACTAGCATCAAGACAGTGGCAGAGGCGTAGCGAAGGGGGGGGGGGGCAGGGGGTAGATATGTCCCCGGGCGCTGACCTTAGGGGGCGCCAAAATGGGTTGGAAAAACAAAGTAAAATTTCATTTTAGCTGCATTGTTGCTCTATAACTATAAATATAAAAATATATGAGAGGGGGTGCAAATCGAAAGTTTGAGGGGGGGGGGGGGGGGGGGGGTGGTGCAAATTGAAAGATCGAGGGGGGGGGAAGGGTTGGTGCAAATCGAAAATTCAAGGGGGGGGGGGGGGTGCAAATCGAAAATAATCCCGAGGGGTGCGCCAAATTGAAAGTTTGTCCCCGGGCGCCGAGAAGGGTCGCTACGCCTCTGGGCAGTGGCGTAGCTAGGATTTTCGGGCCCCTATTTTCCTCGAGTTCCCTATACCTTGCTTACGCTGGATTTACGGTAGCTAAGCCACTGCGTCAAGGCCAGATGTGTTGAGGGGGGGGGGGGGGAGGGCGTGGTCTAAGCGGTAGAGCGCTAGGCTGCTAACTCGACATAGCACATTTGGTTAAAATTAAAGCTACTTCGTACTTTGAACTGTAAGAAGCAATTTTTTATTGTCTTTTATAAATCCGCTGTTGCCGATTAAAAATAAACCAAAATGTTAAGGAATGTTAAGGAATTGTTTAAAGGTTTTTTCCGAATGCAAGAAGCTCATAATAAACTTACCATGAGAGGGACCGTAATGTTGATCGTATATGAACTCGGCCACTGCGCTATGAGGGTGATCGGCCTTTAAGTCAGCCTAAAAAAACATAATCTAATATTGAAAAAAAAAACTGATTCCTTTTAAAAATTTAATGTACAAAGCTAAACACAGTAAACTATTTTTTTTTTTCTGTATATAAATTATCTACAATAAAAATGGCTTCTTACCTTTATTTTCCTGAGTAAAGAATCAACCTGAAAATTTTTTTACAAAGTAGAATTAATACACATTTTGTCTAGGACGGAATAGCCATTGTAAACACTGTGGTACACTACAATGAAATAGGTAGAATCTATAGATATAATTCTCTTCATGGAGGGACCATGTGGGACAAGACGACGAAGCCCCCCCCCCCCCTTCCCTCGCTCTTCAGGCATGCTCAACAGACCATATCGATACCACCCCCACCTCCACCATTCTGGTGAGCTGTGGTTCACGCCAAATGTTTACAACCGTAGAGCCGGGTCGAATTACTGAATGATATTAGGGGCAGATAATTTAGTTTTTAAACGATTCGAAACTAAGGGGAGGTAATAACAAGTTCTGCTCGATCTTTTCATTGTAAACTGTCGTCACGTGGGGGGGTGGTGGGGGGGGGGTCTAAGGGAGGGTGAGGATAATCGTCCTTCACGCGCTACTGATAGTGTTTTAAAGCAACATATTTTCAGTCGCAGAATTGGTGGTGTGGAATTCACAAATTTTGAATTGCTGAAAAGCAGAAATTAAATAAATAGCGACGGCAGGGTCAGCTCATAATACATACTTTACGGAAAATTTCAAAGATTACATCATTAAAACATGGGTTCATCCAATTAAAAAAACTAATTAGCTTTATTGAAGAATTTATGTCAATAGAAGATTTAAATATGAAGCAGCTCGAAACTGTACACAGTAAGGTTTCAATATTGTTATTGATTGGCTTTTAATCTTATTGCTAAAAATTTGGAAGTTTTATCCTAACATGTCCAATTTTATTAGCGAGATTTGAATATTGTTTTCTATAATATATTATAAAGGTATAATTTAATTATTCTCTTCCCTTTCAGTACTATTTAGATGTACAAATCATAAAAAAATAAGATAAGAGTTATCTCCCATTATCGATACACCTTTCGAAAAAAATCTATCTATATATATAATTCTCTTCTGGAAGCCGTTAGAAAACAAGCTGCAAGCGCCTCCTTGCAGTCCCTTCTCTTTCTCTCTATCACTATCACTACCACCCCCACCCCCACATTATCTGGTGAGCTGTGGTCACGCTAAATGTTTACAAAGCTAAATGTTTACAAATCGTAGATCCGGGTTTCTATTAGGGGCAGATAATTTAATTCGATTTTAAACTTACAGGAGGTAACTAAGAAATAACTAAGAGGAGGCTGCTTTCACGGGGGGGGGGGGGGGGGGGGTCGGGGTTAGGGGAAAGGGGGGGGTAGTGTTTTAAAGCAAATTTTTTTCAGTGGCAGCATTGGTACTGTCGAATTCACAAATTATTAGCAATTACTGAAAAGTAGAAAATAAAACAACTAAATAGCGGCGTATGATACACCGCGGGTCGGCTCGTATATTAAATTTACAGTTGGCTACAAAATAACTGGACGCCATTGTTACAATCTTCACCCGCTTGATAAAACACATGGACATAACGATGTTTGAACTGTAATCTTTTAATACGCCCGTACACCGAGTTATACTGTAAGCCATCTTGTAAACTTACATCGATATATCTCAGCCTCCATTCTTGTATTTCTTTCCTAAGATCGTCAAATTCAAGACCGTCTCCATTAGTGTTCTAGTAGAATAAAACATGGGTGACATAAGATCTCTAAAACCTAGGTTAGGAGTTTGTAATATTTTTTTTTTAAACATCTCACGCTAATAAACAAAATATGTTATTTTATTATTTGTATTTAAAAAATATAACAACAGCAACGTTTTTGTTTCGAAAAAAATAGGATGGAATTGCATTTGTTAATTAAGATAGCGTGCTTAATTAGCAAATTATTAGGCTTATTCTCTTATTATTGACGATTAGATTAAGTTACCTCTTGTAGAAGGGTATACTGAACAACTAACCACTAGATTAAGTTACCTCTTGTAGATGTGTATACTGACTAACTGACCACTAGATTAAGTTACCACTTGAAGACGGGTATACTGACCACTAGATTAAGTTACCTCTTGTAGATGTGTATACTGACCAACTGACCACTAGATTAAGTTACCTCTTGTAGATGTGTACTACTGACCAACTGACCACTAGATTAAGTTACCACATGAAGACAGGTAAACTGACCAACTGACCAACTGACCACTAGATTAAGTTACCTCTTGTGGACAGATATACTGACCAACTGACCACTAGATTAAGTTACCTCTTGTAGTTGGATACACTGACCAACTGACCAACTGACCACTAGATTAAGTTACCTCTTGTAAACGGATGTACCAACTGACCACTAGATTAAGTTACCTCTTGTAGTTGGATACACTGACCAACTGACCAACTGACCACTAGATTAAGTTACCTCTTGTAAACGGATGTACCAACTGACCACTAGATTAAGTTACCTCTTGTAAACGGGTCAAATCCAGTCCCGCCTCCTCCATCTCATATTGTAGAAACACGCGCATGTTGGCGGAGCGGCACAGGTTGAGGATGGTGTTGAGCAGCCTCAGACAGCTCACCTACATCACAGATCATGCACGTGTAGACATCAGACATCAAATAACAAAAACTCAAGTCAAAATTATGGCAGTTCATTGTGTGAGGTTCATTTATGTAGATCGATAAAAATAATTTTTAAAATGTTTTTTTTTTTAAATGTACTTTTATAACTTGATGGCTTCTTTCTTTATTTCATATTTGTATTGTTTTGAAATGTATCTAAAACTTATTGTTTTTTTAAAGCCTAATAATGTCTGGAAAAAAATGTGTTTTATTTCGAAAATATATTGTGAGATGTTACAACTCACATCAAATGCTTGTCAACTAACATTAAAAAAATGAACAGTAAATTATCGTTTAAGAACTGTTAAGAACATTTAGGTTGTACAGCTGAAATAGTCAACCTTTTACGGCTTAGTCATTCGATGTTTAACAGACAAAACATGTCAGATTTTAAAGAACATCAGAAAAACAAGTGAGAGTAAAGTCCATTAGAGATTCAGCACTTTACTGTGATAGCTTGTTTTGTGAACCCAACCTGAAAGAGAACATGGGAGACGCCCCTGGTGTACATCATGTTGACTAGGATCTTGAAGCGGGTGCTCTCAGCGAAGTGGATCCTCATGGATGTGAAGGCGTCCAGAACCTTGTCCACTGAAGTTGGGCCGGTCAGTATCAGGGTCAGGATCTGAGAAGATGTAACGTTCTTGTCTTAGATACAACGGTGCTAATTATGTTGTTTTAAATGTGTATGCATAAATTCGTGTAAAATATCGTATAAGTAAGGCGTATAAATAAGTAAGAACTCAAGAAAAAAGAGTTCAGAGGTGTTTCTATAGGGAGAGGGGGGGGGGGTGGGTGGAGCTCAGAGGTGTTTCTGTAGACTAGGGAGGGGGCTCGCTAGATAGGCCCCTGTGTCATTAACAAGGCCTAGATGGAAAGAACATCATACATCTCACTCACATTATCACATAACACGCATACATATTTGCCTGAATGTATTCTTAAGACATCTTTCTGTTTGTGTTTATGAATATGTGAATGCGATTTCATTTTGAGACGTTTATTGGTGATAGGGGGATGTTTCATCCCCTTCACTAATAGGGCTGGTAAGTAGGTCACCAACCAGTTCTATGGCTCATACAGTGTTTATTGAGCCGTAGAACTAGTTGGTGACCTACTTACCAGCCCTATTCACTACACGGGATGGGGGTGATGTGGCTGAGAGGGCAATGACTGTTATATACATAGCTCCCAGGAGAAGATAATTAACCACTTACTTCTAATGCTGTGATTCTAGACCGTGAGTAGTTGCTCATCAGACACGTGACGACCGTATACAGGCCTGGGTTGTATTCGAGGATCTCTTCAACAGCTGACTGTGGAATGTGACTCCAGTCATAAACGGAATATATTTTAAGTCAAAGTCATGTACGATTCAAGTCATAATTTGGATAGTTACTTTCATGTCATATTTGCAAACAGTGACAAAGTGGAACAGGACACGCTAAATGTGGAAACGACGTGGTCAAACGGTAGGGCGCTGTTGTCATACCGAAAGTGTTGAGTTCGGAACCCATGACCGCCGGCACTCGCCCGCCCATCACGAGCAAGGATGCAGTGTTTCTTTAAGACTTTTTTCTCCGGGGGGGGGGGGGGTGCACTTGAAATTTTTGGGAGACGGTCTAAATGTTACTTGGGTGGGTGGGGTAGGGGTGGAGTTGTGCACCCCCCACCCCCTCCAAAAAGACAGATGAAAGAAACACAAAATACCTACTGGTGACAAAGGAAAGAGGAATGTTCGAATCCCCATCCCTATCCGACAACGTTTTCAATCACAACAGAGAAAAAAGAGAGAGAGAGAGAAAGAGGGAGATAGTCACTAAATGCGACACAACACTCTTGTAACACTATCACAATCAGAGTTTCTTCCAGGCATCTCTTCAGGGGGGCTTTGCGCCCCCCCCCCCCCCCCCCCACCCCCGAAATTTTTTTACCGCCCCTTGAAGGAAATGAAATTTATATAATTTATATAGAAAATATATACTTTTAACAGTGTCCGCCCCCCCCCCCCCGAAGAAAGTCTACCGCCCCCGAAAATTTCAAGTGCCCCCCCCCCCCCCCCCGGAGAAAAAAGTCTGGAAGAAACACTGATCACAATAGGTCATCGGAATCAATTACTGTTTTTTTTTGTTTTTTTAATTTTCTCTAGATTTAATACTAGTAATTGTTTACTTTATTGCCTTTACGCAATTACTAGTATGTTTTAATTTATATCGATATTAATATGTTTTTGTTATAAACTTAACCTCGCACTTACCCTTATCCTTAAAGTGTATTTAATACATAGAAGACAGTCTTGCTCATCAACCTGAAAAAAACACATTGGTATTCACATAATTTTTATCATTTTATATATAGAGTCATAAATGATAAAATTATGGTTTAAGATATTTAAGGGCCTTCTCCATTTTAGAACTACAGACGTTGTTATTGTCCAACTAATTCATTGATAGCACAAAAAATATTTTTATACATATTCTATACCCTATATGAACTCAAACGCCAAACGGCAGATTGGATTTAGTTGAAAGTTAATCCAGTTGGGTAATGCAAAGTTACGGGGTTGTGTTGACCGCGTTTGTTCTTGGATTATGGTTAGAAATATGTTAAATAGCATACCCAACATGGTTTTAGGGAAATGGATATGGGTTAAGTTAGGGTTATGTTTAGGGTTAGAGCTAGCTAAAGCATGGATTTCGGTAACGGCTACATTTCGATTTAGCTGTTCATTATTTTATGATTGAAAAGTTAAGTTTCCGTTGATGGTTAGGTAAAGGCTTAGGGCAGGGGACTCCAAACTTTTCAGTCCGAGGGCCGCATTTACTATCAAATTTCAGTTCGGGGACCAGTTTCTTCCAGGCATGTCTTTGATTTTTCTGAGCAAATTTATTCAGCAATCAACAACAAACGATTTTTCCTTGGACAAAAAGAATTCCGCGGGCCGGATGAGAGGACCTCGCGGGCCGCATCCGGCCCGCGGGCCGTAGTTTGGAGACCCCTGGCTTAGGGCATTAGGATTTGGCCCACCACCAGGGTTTGGGTAGTAGTACAAGTGACTTTTCCGTGGATGGTTAGGGCTGGGGTAACGATACAAGTGACGTTTCCGTGGATGGTTAGGGCTGGGGTAACGATACAAGTGACTTTTCCGTAGATGGTTAGGGCTGGGGTAACGATACAAGTGACGTTTCCGTGGTTAGATTTAAGGCAAGTGGTACAAAGGATACTTCAGTAGAAAGGTTACGGTTAATGTAGAAACACAAGTAAAGTTTCCGTTGATGGTTAGAATTAGGGTAGTGATACAATTGGAGGTTAGGATAGGGTTAGGGTAGTGATACAATTAGAGGTTAGGGTAGGGTTAGGGTAGTGATACAATTGGAGGTTAGGGTAGGGTTAGGGTAGGGTTCATCATCATCCCTTTGTGGCCCCTGGGGAGCAAAGGGCTGCAACCACACATCTCCATCAGACTCGGTTTTGGTTTGCTCCCTTTATATGTGCCCATTTTAGCCCAGGTGTTTTCGCCTCTTCTTCAACCGTTCTTCTCCATGTATTCCTTGGCCGGCCCACCCTACTTTTTCCCTGGGAATTCCAGTCCAAAGCGTGCTTTGCGATGTTTTCTTTTTCTTTTCATAATATGTGTCCGATCCATCCATAGGGTAGGGTTAGGGTAGTGATAAAATTGGAGGTTAGGGTAGGGTTAGGGTAGTGATAAAATTGGAGGTTAGGGAAGGGTTAGGGTAGTGATAAAATTGGAGGTTAGGGTAGGGTTAGGGTGGTGATAAAATTGGAGGTTAGGGTAGGGTTAGGGTGGTGATAAAATTGGAGGTTAGGGTAGGGTTAGGGTAGTGATAAAATTGGAGGTTAGGGTAGGGTTAGGGTGGTGATAAAATTGGAGGTTAGGGTAGGGTTAGGGTGGTGATAAAATTGGAGGTTAGGGTAGGGTTAGGGCAGGGGTCGGCAACCTGCGGCTCGCGAGCCGCATGCGGCTCTTTTGATATCAACATGCGGCTCTCCAGCTCCTTGCACAAATACTAATAATCTTAATGAAAAAATAAAATATTTGAAATAAAAAATTTTAGTGGCTCTTTAAAACCAGAAAAAAATTGAAAATTGTAACTTTTGGCTCTTCCGCTTCAAAAGGTTGCCGACCCCTGGGTTAGGGTGGTGATAAAATTGGAGGTTAGGGTAGGGTTAGGGTAGTGATAAAATTGGAGGTTAGGGTAGGGTTAGGGTGGTGATAAAATTGAAGGTTAGGGTAGGGTTAGGGTAGTGATAAAATTGGAGTTTAGGGTAGGGTTAGGGTAGTGATAAAATTGGAGGTTAGGGTAGGGTTAGGGTGGTGATAAAATTGGCGGTTAGGGTAGGGTTAGGGTAGTAATAAAATTGGAGGTTAGGGTAGGGTTAGGGTGGTGATAAAATTGGAGGTTAGGGTAGGGTTAGGTTAGTGATAAAATTGGAGGTTAGGGTAGGGTTAGGGTGGTGATAAAATTGGAGGTTAGGGTAGGGTTAGGGTAGTGATAAAATTGGAGGTTAGGGTAGGGTTAGGGTAGTGATAAAATTGGAGGTTAGGGTAGGGTTAGGGTAGTGATAAAATTGGAGGTTAGGGTAGGGTTAGGGTAGTGATAAAATTGGAGGTTAGGGTAGGGTTAGGGTAGTGATAAAATTGGAGGTTAGGGTAGGGTTAGGGTAGTGATAAAATTGGAGGTTAGGGTAGGGTTAGGGTAGTGATAAAATTGGAGGTTAGGGTAGGGTTAGGGTAGTGATAAAATTGGAGGTTATGGTAGGGTTCGGGTAGTGATAAAATTGGAGGTTAGGGTAGGGTTAGGGTAGTGATAAAATTGGAGGTTAGGGTAGGGTTAGGGTAGTGATAAAATTGGAGGTTAGGGTAGGGTTAGGGTAGTGATAAAATTGGAGGTTAGGGTAGGGTTAGGGTAGTGATAAAATTGGAGGTTAGGGTAGGGTTAGGGTAGTGATAAAATTGGAGGTTAGGGTAGGGTTAGGGTAGTGATAAAATTGGAGGTTAGGGTAGGGTTAGGGTAGTGATAAAATTGGAGGTTAGGGTAGGGTTAGGGTAGTGATAAAATTGGAGGTTAGGGTAGGGTTAGGGTGGTGATACAATTGGAGGTTAGGGTAGGGTTAGGGTAGTGATAAAATTGGAGGTTAGGGTAGGGTTAGGGTGGTGATAAAATTGGAGGTTTGGGTAGGGTTAGGGTAGTTACAGACGTGACGTTACTGGGGACACTCACCATATTCTTCTTGTATTCGTCCATCCTCAACGTCCCCTTGGGTGCCGCCCGGGGGGTGGTTGCTGTGGGGTTGGAGGACAAAGCCTGGAGGTTTTTCAGCAGAGTGAGCAGGAGTCTCAGACCGTTGTTTGGCGCTCTCACAAAGTCCTCCACGAAACTGGAATTATGAGCAGACGGGAATTAATTTGAAATGTATTTGTTAAATATTTGACTGATTGCTTGCATGCAATACGCGTTGAATGAGAAATACAATATATTAATATCATGGGACGGGTGCCGAAAAGACACTTGCCGAATGAGACAATATTATCCGAAACGCTAATTAAAAAAAAAGTCTTCGGGCAAGGGACTGTCGGGAAAAAGAGGCTTTTGAGTAATCATCCCTTCATGCGTATGTCTGATTAGGGGAAAATTCTGTTAGGGGAAAAACGAAGAAGTTTATTCGGGGGAAAAAGGAAGACGTCTATTCGGGGAAAAGGAAGAAGTCTATTCGGGGAAAAAGGAATACATCTATTCAGGGAAAAAGGAAGAAGTCTATTCGTGGAAAAAGGAATACGACTATTCAGGGAAAAAGGAAGATGTCTATTCGGGGAAAAAGGAAGACGTCTATTCAGGGAAAAAGGAAGACGTCTATTCGGGGAAAAAGGAATACGTCTATTCAGGGAAAAAGGAAGAATTCTATTCGGGGGAAAAAGGAAGACGTCTATTCAGGGAAAAAGGAAGAAGTCTATTCGAGGGGAAAAGGAAGTAGTCTATTCGGGAAAAAAGGAAGATGTCTAATCAGGTAAAAAGAAAGTAGTCTTTTCGGGGAGAAAGGAAGAAGTCTATTCGGGGGGAAAAGGAAGAAGTCTATTCGGGAAAAAAGGAAGTAGTCTATTCGGGGGAAAAGATTTCAGGCATTCTGGCATATATCTATTAGATATTTCTCGCTGACTTATCACAGACGGCAATCACGCACCAAATTATTCCGAACATTCATTAAAACTATAAAACTATTATTAGACATTTAACACAATTATTTTCTACAACTGCAAAAAATGCGGAAAATAAAAGGCCAGTACATCACAATAGACTTGATAATGTATTGCTGTTCAAGTCGGCCATTTTGCTAGTACATTATCAGAAAACATGAATCGCCACATTATCAGAAAACATGAATCGCCACTCAGTTTAGTATTAACTTGTAGTGCAGTCGCTCATTGCTAAATCGGGTAACTGGTGTAAAATTTGTATGATTTGGATAAGAGAGTTAGCGAGGAATATAAGAAAGAGGGTATGTTGTTTTTTTTTTACGTGTGCTATAAAGTTGATATTATGTTTGCTGATTAAGTTTTCATCTGTAATTAAATTAATTAGTCTGCCTTACAAATATCTTTTTTTTTTACAAGCAACTTGAATAGCGTTGAGCGTATTGCAGAAAATTGTATTGGCAATGTGACCTTGCTGCGGAGGCTGTTTTTTTCAGGCCACTCTTTGGGGGGGGGGGGGGGGGGGGTGTGGGGGACTTCTACGTCCCCCTCCCATCCGTCCCTGAATTAAAGATAATTCAAACAGAAAGTATATACTTTTACCAGTGTCAACCCCCCCCCCCCCTTCCTGGAAAATATAGTATAATCCCCCTAAAATTTCAAGTGCACCCCCGCCCCGGAAAAAAAAATGTCTGAAAGAAACACGGTGTGGAAGTTGTATACTATTGTCTAAATCACGAAGACTGATGTTCTACATTTTGACATTTGAGAAGAAATGAAATATAAACTCACGTGAATTCACTTTTGTAACAATTACAAAAATTTTAAAAGTGCAAACTGTTTGCAACGAAATATACAATTTTGACAAAACAATCCCTTCTAGGGCGCCATCCCAAGGTGGGGGGGGGGGGGCGCAAAAAAAATGTAATCGTTATTATCAAAAAGTACCTCATAATTAAAAACTTTGAATATCTTTTATAAAACTATAGATGGTAATTTAGAAGGAGTAGCAATCTATTTCGGCGCCCAGGACTAACTATCATTTTTGCACCCCCACCCCATAATAAATATAAATCAATTAATTCGCGATAGTGAAAATGCAACCCCACCTCCCTAATTTGGAAAGATCGGGGCGCTTTTTACCAGTTACATTGCCTTTTTATTTTGGTGTCACATAATTGATGTAGAAAACGATTTAAAAAGTTCGTAATTTAAATTTCGAACATTTCAAACGGTTATCAAATTTTAATGTTGATTTAGTGATCGCTCCAGCGCATGACGGGGCGTTCGAAAACACGTGCAATTTTGTTTTTTAATAGGGCTTGTAAGTCTCGTTTTCTCTGACTTTAAATTAGAAATCCAGACTTTCTTCCAGGCATCTCTTCGGGGGGGGGGGGGGGGGCCAGGGCCCCCCGAAAATTTTTTACCGCCCCCCCCCCGAACGAAATGAAATTTATATAATTTATATAGAAAATATATACTTTTAACAGTGTCCGCCCCCCCCCCCCCGAAAAAAGTCTACCGCCCCCCCCCCCCCCCCGAAAATTTCAAGTGCCCCCCCGGAGAAAAAAGTCTGGAAGAAACACTGTAGAAATATGTCCTGGTGTATATAGTTTTGTAATGACGGAGTTTGTTGTTGATATGGTTTCGTAGGTATAAAGTAAGTATCGAAGTGTTAAAGTATCGTTATTTTTATTTGGCTGTTGTGTAGTTGAAGGTTGAGTGGGATCTGATTGGTAGTAGAGAGATGAGAATGTAGGTGATGAGGTATCGTTGTTCTGGAGTTCGGGAGTATCGAGCCTTGCAGTATTAGAGTATCGAAGTGTGATGACTGTTATCGTGAAGTAGTAGGTCCAGTTAAATCTTTGTTGATTGGGAGTATCATTTGTGGAGCTTGGTGAAGTTAAGTGAGTTATTGTCGTAGTTCTGGAGAATCGAGTCTAGTTATGTTTAGGTATTGAAGTTCGATATGTGAAGTAAATGTAGTTAAGTATATTGAGTAATCGAGTTTATCTTAAGTTAGAAGATTTCAATTCAGGACAGAATACACTACAAAGGTAGGCGTTCTCTTACTGAAAAAAAAAAGTTTTTTTAGGAATCTATATTAACACTTTTAAAGTGTTAATATATAATATTATATAGATCTAGGCTAATTTTCATAAGCAACCCTAAACTTTATTATTTTAAAAGTTAATATTAGTTTTTATATTTCATCAACAATATGGCAACGTCTTAATTAAACAGTTACCCGTATTTAAGTTTATAAAAGGCGTCCCTTTATTTAAGGGATCCAAAAATTTACTATATGATTGTGAGGAACTTACTGCAATAATATGTTTGTCATCAAAATTGACTAGATAAATGTTATAATAAAACTACCGTGTTTAGACTTTCAAACAAAACCTACAGTCCATTGGTAAAATACATTCTTTTGCTATGGTTACATAGTTAATATAAAAGATTTGGTATAATCATTACGTGATGAAACTTAAAGCGTTTTGTTGTGTTTTTTCAGACATATCTTAGTTACACTTGGTTAATTTTACTTGGTTAAAGTTATTTCCCTTGAATAGAATTTGGTATTTGGATTTCCAAATGGGAGATAATTCGTTGCTCATAACATTAATTTCAAATTTTTGCACCTTAATTTAAGTTGACCGCTTACTTATAAATATAACTTGTAAGTTATTATTTGCTATTGTAAAAGTTATATAGAGCAGAAGCTCTAAACAAAATGGTTTGGTAGGTTTTCTTGCATTAAAAAAAATTAAAAAAAAAAATAAAAAAATACAACAGCAGCCCTTGTAGATTGCAATACTTAAATGTTAGTCGACATACAACAAATGAGTCTAAAATCGTCTTAGTCTTAAATTAATAATCTAATTAATTGAGCGTCTTTTTCATATTTTTCACCCGCTCCTGAAGGATGCATATACAAAAATTGTAGGCTGAAATCTATAACATTTGTAAACTTTTATTTTTCAAAAACAAAAAAACAAGTTAATTAAAAAGTCTATTGACATATAAGCGCAATTTTCTTATGTTATCTAAAAATAGCTCTGTCGTAGCGTAAATCAAGAGCAGGGTTAGTAAAACCATTGGTTAGTCATTAAAACGTTTTTTATTAATATTTTTTCAGTATTTTACATGTTTTATTTACAATAGAGTAACATGACTAAAAACCATAGCGCGCCTAGCTACCGAACGTGATGTCGCAGCCATTGAACGTGATGGCGCAGCTATTGAACGTGATGACGCGTGTGGTGTGGTTGGATAAAATGCCTACTAATTCGGTCCAAATTTTAATTAATTCAAAAAAATTTTTGTGAACGAACGAAAGGATATTTTTGAAAACTTTCTTCGGCAATATTTTTCTAAATTATGGCAGGAATCGATTGGTACATGTTTCAAGTCGCTAAGTGGTCTGGTTGTCGAGATATGGGTAAAAAACTGCATTTTTTCGAGGTTTTTTGGCTTTTCCGGGATATCCATGAAAGAAACCCGGAATTTTTTTGGCCTATGTTCATCCTGGTAACTTGCTTAACATATTTGCTTTTGGAACTAGTCCTCGATATTGCTTCGTTGAGGAGGAGATACGACTTAAAGCTGCGGACACACATCCATCCATTCCCAGAAATGGACGAGTTAATAAACGCAATTCTCCAGAATGGAAATTGCGCTAAAAATCATTACATAATCACACAATATAGACATTTTACAATTATAGCTAAAGAGAGTCAAGCTTAAAACAGGTAAGTTCCTTTCTGGAACTCACATTTGAACTGTGTTTTTTCCCGTGTTTTTTTTCAGACTTTTTTCTCCCGGGAGGGGGGGGGGGACTTGAAATTTTCTAAGGGGGGGGGGGGGGAGGAGGAGGCTATGTCGTAAAGTACAAAGTAGACTCGTGGACTTAGCAACAATTTCAATAGAATGTGATTACGCTTGCAAACAGGAACTGAAGGAATTAGTAAAAACTTCTGCGACGAAGGAGGCAAGTGAAATTTTATTTTGATGTCTACTTATAACGTGCAGAGGCGTAGCGAAGGGGGGGGGGGGCGGGGGTGCAGACCGCACCGGGTGACACCATTAAGGGGGTGATGGTGACACCAAGGCAAAAAATAGCAAAATATGTAGAGAAAAATTTGAGGGGGGGGGGGTGCAAATCGAAAGTTTCAGGGAGGGGGGGGGG